GATGGGATCAGGTATCAGGCTTCTAAAACCCAGAATATAACCATACCCAAGGTGAATGGGGGTGGGGGGTGGGGGCATGGAGTGGAGACCCAATGCCCATCTGTAGATTATTGGGCATCCCCTCACAGAGGGGTAACAGGGAAGTGATGAGCCAGTCAGGGTGCAGTATAGCACCGATGAAACACACAACTTTCCTCTAGTTCTTTGGTGCTTCCTTCCCCCCGCTATCATGACCTCAATTCTACCTTATAAATCACATTATACCACAGCATGCACACCGCTACAGACAAGAGCCCGCAACACAGGGGATCCAGGATGGATAAACCCCTCAGGGCCAACAAAGAGAGTGGAGATACCAGGAGGAAAAGGGGAGGGTGGGGAAAGAAAGGGGAATTGATCACAAGGGTCAACAGAGAATACCCTCCCCGGGGGGACAAAAAACAGAAAAGTGGGTGAGGGGCGACTGAGGATGATGTAAGATATGGAAGAAAATAATCTATACCTATCAAGGGTTCATGAGTGAGGATGGGTGGGGGAAGGAGGGTGAAGAAATTGGGAGCTGATATCAGGGGCTCAAGTGGGAAGAAAACGGTTTGAAAATGATGATGGCGGCACATGTGCAAATGTGCTTGACACATCGGAGGAATGTACAGATTTTGATAAGATATGTAAGAGCCCCCAATAAAAGTATTAAAAGAAAGAAAGAAAGAACTTCTGTTGAATTTAGGTAGTTAATATTATTATTGCAGCAACAAATAGTATCCAGTGAATGTGCTCTTTATTTTTATGTAGTTATTATTTTTACCCCTTCTCTTCTTTGCATTTGTTTCCTACGGGAAGTAAATACTAATTTTAAGACTCATGTTTGTGGAACCAAACTAATTAAATGCAACCAATTTCACAGTTAATGGTACACTAATTAGCATTTTATGATAATAAATGTCTTCCCCAAACATTTCTTAATACAGTAAGACGTTATTATTCTGTAATATATTCATCTGGCAATGCTACTAGGTTACAAAATGTGGAATTTCTGATATTTGAGTATTTTTGAGTTACAGATAGACCAAGTTCATCGTTAGATGTGTTCTTTTTCTGTTGAAAATCAAAAGCACTAAAACACCCCTGGTTTCCCGCATCTGAATAAGAATTGATGTTCTTGTTACTGCTTGCTGCTGTCAAATGGACCTGACTCCGGGAGGTGTAAAAACTAGCCCTGTGGGTGTAATGGGTTTGGCCTTGAGCTGTTCACCACTAAGTCCACAGTTTGAATCCACCAGCCAGCCGCTCCAAGGGAGAAATTTGATGCTTTCTGCTCCATTAAAGATTGAGTCCCAGCTCCCCAAAGGATCAGTTCTGCTCTGTCTTTTAGGGTTGCAATGATTTAAAATTGACTTGATGGCAATGAATTTGCTTTGCTTGATTATTTCTGTGCTAACTCAATGGTGACCCAAGGTGTGTCAGAGTAGAGCTGTGATACATTGAGTTTTCAAAAGCTAATCTTGCATGGAAAGAGAAACAGATTGCCAGAATTTTCTTCTCAGGGTCCTCTAACTTCCAACCGTGATGGCTGGCAGCCAAAAGCACTAATGGTTTGTATCCACCCAGAGAAATGGTGTTGCTGCAGTTAGGTGCCAGCAAGCCAGTCTTGACCCATAGTAAAACTATGTACAGCAGAGTAAAACACTGACTGGTGCTGTGGCATCCTTATAATTGCTAAGATTTGTGAGTCCATTGTGGCAGCCACTGCATCAGTCTATGTCATTGAGGGTCTTTCTTTTTTATTCTTTCCCCTGACCTTCTACATTACCAAGCATGGAGTCTTTTTCTAGGGACCAGTCCCTCTTGATAATATTGACCAACGTTCCATCAACCTGTTATGAGAAGCATGTGGGTGTACCGTATATACGGGAGTATAAGCTGACCCGAATATCAGTCAAGGCACTTAATTTTAACTGCAATTGTGCAAGAAAACAAAAAGGCTTCATGAATTAATTATTTATACTTTGGAATGCAGACAGCTATTGCAATCTGGGAGGTATGGGAGTAAAACAGTACAAATTTGATGTGAAATTGGACATAGAGTGGAAATAAGCATTTTCCTTGAATCTAAGGTGAACAACTTGGCAAGTTGACCACTTTGAAGAAGGCTGTGTTGGAAAAGTTATACTCATAAATCATGTCAGCATCCTCACTAAGGAGGATTAATAAAGGATAATGTGACTCCACCTGTGGGCTGGATCGGCAGGATGCACATAAAAGAAGGTAAAAGCTCCCAAAACATGGCATGCAGGAAACAAGCTGAACAGTACTTATTTTAAACCTGTATTCAATGCTATGATTTTGGCTATTTTTACAACCTTTGAATAGAGAAAATGATGATTTTCTTTTCTCATTTCAATCATGTGCTTAAATTGTAGGTGTTGTGCAGCGTTTATTATATTTTAATACATAAGAATGTTTAGTAGAATAATAAAATGATTTTATTATTATTATTTGCCTGTGCAGCATGTCTTTATGCTTAAAGACGTTCTTCATGTCTTTATTGTATAAATGATTTACTTATGTGATTACATGCATGTCTGTGGCAGTTACATAATCTCCTGTCAACTTCTGAAGGGGTGGAGTTTAGCCTGTCAATCAGGTCACAGCTTGATGACCTCATTTGGAGGTGCAAAGGAGATAAATAGCTCACTGGAAGCCAGACACCTGCTCTTGCTCTGCATGTCTCCCTTGGAGACATTCCTGTTGACAAACCACATGGAGCTACGCTGATATAGCCCAAGCCCTGGAACTGGAGGAACCACGTGGAGACCCAAGCCAGACCTGAGATGTTTCCACCATCCCAGGATCCACAAGACTTTCCACCCACTGGCCTGTGATCTTCCTGCATTCTGTAACATTGCATGTGTTGCATGATTCTGAAGAGAACTTTTTAGATTGGTATCAGACATATGGGTTAATATCAGACTTATGGACTTGACCTAGTCTTGTCTGGGATGTTTTCTCAATATACAATTGTTCTTTTACATAAAGCTCCTTCTTATACACATATGAGTGTCTATGAATTTGTTTCTCTAGTCTACCTGGACTAGCACAATGTGAAAAGCAGTTTTTGAGGAATGATATCAATGAATCTAAAGGTTTTGTCTTATCATTTTGTCCACAATTTAAAAAAATATTTTTCATATAACTAGTTCTGATTAGGCTAAACAGAGGTAAGCCAAATTTATGCTAAGTATTATGACACCCTTTTTTTCTCTGGCAGTATGAACTGATATAAAGAAGTTTACTTACATGTCATTTTCCATTATGATTTTTTGTGTGGGTGTAATATCGTGCTCTATCCATTCATTAACCTAACTATTCACCCACACATTTATTCAGACAAAATTATTTAAAAGATGTCTTTATGTAGCAAACGTTGCGATTTGTCACTTTATAAGTTCACTAACATTATTTCCTCATTGGAGAGTTCACAGATACTAGAGATGTGAAATTAAATAATTAATTTGAAATCAATTTGATAATTATTATAATTATAAAATATTCCCAAAGGCTTTTCTAGTTGTTTTGTTAATATGTAAAATATTTATTAGTGTTAAAAAAGGACGTGCCCTTGGTGTTAGATTTTAACGGGGCACTCTGGAAAACGAAGGCATACTAAGTAATTGAAAGATCAGGTGTACTGCCTGGCTTATGTTTATTAAAATAGATACTGACATTTGGGAGCAAAAATAAAACTTTATTATCCTACTCAGCACCTTTGTAAGAATTCATAAAATATGCTTTACTCTTTCTTTACCTTTTAAGACCATTATAATGAGAGGGAGAAGAAGAAAAATTTCATTTAAGGAAGAGAAAAAGATTGAAGAAATTTGATAATAAAATGTAAATTTAAAAAGAATTGAAACTGAATATAGATGAACTCTATCAGTCACAAGAAAATGATAGCTTTCCAGCTTAATTTACTTTGGCAAACACTTGCATGGATGCAGTGGGAATATAATCTAAACACCTTATTAGAATATGTATCTCATTGCTGCAGCTTGCATTATCACAGCAATAGATATGTAATGCTTACAGGAGTAATTTGTGGTTAAATGTGTTTTGCTAGCTGTTACTGGAAAAAAAAATACAACAAGAGAGAAATACATTTGCCAGTTTGTCTTTTTGTTTTTAAATAAAATAATGCTATATTTAGGCAAGACACATTGATAATTTACCTTGTTAACTTTCTGTCAGAATCATATTTGATGAATATATAAATTTAATAATTTCTACAGAAAATATTAGAAAACTAAAAAATCTTTAGTTAAATTACTTCTCTGAGTCATGGCATGTCATATTAGAAAGTATCTAATGTGGTATCTTTCTCCCTCGGAAATGCTAGTGGTTTTGAACTGCCGACCATAGGGTTTATATTCTCAGAAACCCACAGGAGGTTGCTATGAGCCAGCATTGAATCAATGGCAAAGTTTAGGGTTTGAACATAGTATGTAAGCACCTTGAGAAACTACGTGATGGTGACCCTTAACCATTTGACAACGTATTTGTTGGAGAGAGAAAGAATGAGAGAGAGAGAGATACATTTATAGATATCTATAATTAATCGTAGATAGTCATATATTATATAGATATTATGTATTATGATCTCAATATTATTTAAGGTATGGTGAGCTCTGATGAAACCAATTCTACTCCATTACTTATTGGGAAATGCTTCCTATTAAATGTAAGGGAAATATATATTTTTTATTTTATTCAAAGTTCCTAGGTTTGAGGTTTCCCAATGTTTTAAAACAGAAGTTTCTGTGGAATGACAATGGATTTGGAAGTGATTAACACAATGTGGATACACTTGCCAGAATTGCACTTGTAAGATACTGTGTTTCTTTCCTTGTTTTCCTTCCACCTGTCCTACCCCACAGTTGTCTTAGTGATCACAGTCAGTTCCCATTAACCATTATTCCTAAAGTTCTATTTTTTTTTTTCAGAGGCAGAAGTCAGGAGACATTTATTCAAAGTCTGAATACAGACGGCCAGCTGCCTTCTACAACATAACAGCAAGAAAGTTCGGCGGAGAAGGTACAAAAGTTTCGTTATAAAATCGTTTAATTAGTTTTTTGCGCATCATGGCCGCTGGCGGCCCGGAATGCAGCGGGTGTGGTTGCCCGCGTTACAATACTGCGCCTGTAATCGCTGCTATCAAAATATACATCTGTCACGGTAAAAAAACCTCGCTGTGTGCTGCACACCCCTCCGCCCCACAGGTATAAAAAGTCATAAATATTTACACCTCATTACACTCCTCACTCCCACAGAAAGGGGATCCCTGTGGCTGGTGGAACCTGCCCAGAGGACACACGGGGATCCAGGGGTCCATGCGGCCTGCAGCCAGTTAAGACAGGACCCCGCCCACCTCTGGATACCAGTACTGGAGGCACAGACAGAAAAGAAATAACTTTGGTCCACAATTTGCAGAGAAACAACAGAGAGCCCTGAAGAAGTGTGTAGAGTGTGTCTGGGCAGCTGCGGGGAGGTGTGGTAAGGCTGCGGGCGGGCAGCTGGCTGGGGGCACACACGACCCTGCCCAGGCCACTTCCTGGACACCGGCGTGGGCTCCAGCGAGGCAGCCCTCCGTTACAAAGAATACTAAAAGTAGAGAGTACAAGGTAATACGAGGAGGAAGCTTACATACATGGATGTCATCTTTATCTTGCTATAAAAAGTTACGTAAAACTAGGTCTTTTGCATATAAATGAAGAGATTAGAATATTTGGTCACCTGAAGTATTGCTAGGCACAGCTGTCTGCGAATATGATACAAAAAAGAGCCCCCCCCACACCGCCTGGTTTGGGGAGGTTGGGAGGGGGCGCCCTGCTGACGGGAGTGGAGGTGGGGGCCAATCACGTGACTTGATTGATGGGGCAGGCGGGGTGCTGCCGGCCCCCGAGGCGTCAGTCAGTACATGATGGAGGTGGAGCCCGAGGCCCACCCCAGCCAGCCGGGTGGCCGTGGGTTAAGGCACGAGGAACCAGCGTGGGGGAGCCCGGCCCCGTGTGGGGAGGGGTGGGACGGGGGGTGGCCGGGCTCCAGAGGCATCGCTGTGAGACCTGAAGGGCGGGGTCGAGCTGTGGGACGCCCCCCACCACAAGGTTAGACAGTGGGCTAGATTTAATTTTTTTAAAAACAGGTAAACTGATTTTCTCTTTAAAAAAATAAAATCTCTGGTGGTAAGGTCACTTCAGCTGCTTAGTTAAAGTGGCAATTCTCTGGAATGATGTAAGTGGTCGCGCGGTGGAGGCCCTAGATGGTGGACTTGGAGAAGGAGACCCGCAGGTGGTGGTTCTCGCCCAGGTCGTGGTTGTGCAGCTCAATCAGCGCCTGGATGGCCTCCTCCACGGAGCCCATCTGGATCAGCGCCATCTTGCGGTCCTTCTGGAAGAACTTGAAGCCCTTGACCAGGCCACCATTGCTGGAGAAGAGGATCTTGAGATCGTCCTCGGATATGGACAACGGGATGTTGGAGAGGTGCAGGGTGGCGGAGGGCGGGAAGATGTTCTGGAAGTTCTTGGAGCCGGGTTTCTTGAAGCGGTGCAGTGGCGAGTTGCCGTAGTCCTTGGTCAGGCCCTGGTCCTCCTGGCCCTCTCGGGGCAGCTGCACGTTCTGGTGCTTGGACAGCGAGATGCGCACGGGCTTCCCGTGCAGCTTGTGTCCGTTCAGGTGGCTCATGGCCAGCTGGGCCTGGCTGCCATCGGCCATCTGCACCAGGGCGTTCTCCTTCTTATTGAACAGGACCTTCACGCGCTGCACGTCCCCGTACACGCCGAAGAGAATAAAGAGGCTTTGGGGCGTGACTCTCTCTGGGTTCAAGTTGCTAACGAGCAGGACAGAATTGCCGGCTCCTGCCAGGCCTGGGATGGCGATGCGGCCTGCTGCTGCTGCTGCAGCAGCAGCTGAAGGAATGGCCAGGGGGGCCAGAGCGCCATGGACATTAGGAACCGAGAGGTCTGCGGCCTGTGGGATGGCAAAGGTGGGAGGGAACCCGGCTCCTGCGTATGGTGAGGCTGAGATTATACCAGGTGCACCAAAGGCTGCAGCCATGGTCTGGTCCAGAGATGGCTGGCTATCCCCTGAAGGCAGGTCAGGCCGAGTGTAGTCTCGGCTCTTGTCGTTGTTGTACTTGACGTTGAGGCTGGTGAGCTTTGAGAAGTCAATGCGCAGCGTGCAGCAGGCGTTGTAGATGTTCTGGCCGTCCAGGGACTGCAGGAGGCAGGGTGGTGAGGGTGGGTGCACCCAGACCTCCCAGGAAGCCCCCTCCCCTGGGCGGCGCCCTCACCAGCTTGGCGTGCTGGGCGCTGACAGGTTCGGCATACTGCAGAAGTGCCTGGAACTGGTTGTTCTTGGTGAAAGTGATGATTTTGAGCACCGTGCCAAACTTGGAGAAGATCTGAGGGTGCAGTGGTAGCGGGTCAGGGTGGGTGCCCACCCCATGGCCCCACCTCCCTGCATCTGCCCAAGCCCACCTGGTGCAGCACATCCAGCGTCACCGGGTAGAATAAGTTCTCCACAATGACCCGCAGCACAGGGCTCTGGCCCGCCACAGCCATGCCAGCGTCCACGGCGGCAGCCGAGGCGGCCAGTGCCAGGCTCCCGGACTGCACCGAGTTGACTGCCTGCAGGGCGGCCTGGGCGCGCGCCTGGTTGGGCGAGCCGTCCGTCTTGAGCTCCTTGTGGTTGGAGAACTGGATGTAGATGGGCTGCCCACGCAGCATGGCAGCCACCGAGGCGTAGTAGTAATTCACCATGGTGTTGGCCGCCTCCTCCGTGTTCATCTCGATGAAGGCCTGGTTCTTCCCCTTCAGCATCAGCAGGTTGGTCACCTTCCCGAAGGGCAGCCCCAGGGAGATGACCTCCCCCTCGGTGACATCGCCTGGCAGCTTGCGGACATGCACCACGCGAGAAGGGGCACCCGAGCTCCGGCTGTCACCTTTGAACTTCTTGGTGTCGTTCCCGTTGGCTGCAGACGCGGAGTTGCTGCTCATGATAAAGGGCCCGTTGGTGACGCAGGCAGAGAAGAGCTCTTCAGATCCCCGCTTTGTACCAACTGCTATGTCTGGAACGATGCCGTCCATTGCACACAAAAGAGACCCGTTGGGGACGGAGTGGAGGCGCCGGAATAGCAGGAACCGACTCAACGGCTCCGAGATATAGACTCCTAAAGTTCTATTTTTGACAGTAAATTTACACACATTTTACATGCTAATAAACATCTTCCTTCATGAACTATAGTTAGCACATCAGGCGACTACAGAAAAAGGAGACAACTATGATGAGACATTTTATTGAATGTATGTAATCCCTTGACTGAAATTCTTCAGTTTGCATGTTGATTTATAATTAATAGCATAGAAGTATAGATGTCTTCTTATTGGAAGAATGTTAGGTTATACTTATATAATAAATTGACAGTTGAATCAGAGTTTCTCAAGCTAAATTCTATATAAGTTTGAGAAACAGTATATTACATAAAATGTCTTAGGTTGAATGGATTTATGTTCTTATAATTTCTGTTTGGTTTATCTTATTGATTAAGTAAGAAGAGTTGTGTCAAATTAAACTAGAACATTAATTATATCTAATTTAATGTACCTAATTACTTTGCATCACTATAAGAATGCAATATTTTGGTTGTTCAAAATAATTGACTCAATAATTTTTATATAAAAAAGAACTTGAAACACCGTAATTTTCTCCTATGTCAGAAATCTGGTTATTTTTATCAAAATACTGTATATTGTTATATTTTTAATAAGAGTAAACTTAAAGCTGTGTACTCATATATTTAGTCATAGAATTGTTGCTTCTAGTAGTCCTATAAGAAAGCATTAATGTGCATTCGTGACTATTTAGGAAAATGGTTTAGTATGTAGTTTGGATATTTCTTCCTGGAAAAAAAACAACTTCTCAAGGCAATAAAGAATTGCTTTATTTTTTATTATCTTTTTGAGTAAAGAATTTGACAAAAGCATGGTGGTATGGTTTATCTTTAATCTATGTGGCATAAAATGAATTTGCTGGAAGTAAAAGAATCCTTGACATGATGTTTTTTTCCATCTCACATCTGACATTTTGGTGGGCACACATGGTTAGGAATCTCTCTTTTATAAAATTAATTATATTCCTTATATTTTTATAGTTTTATTGACTTGTAATTCATGTACCATACAATTCAATGGTTTAAATATATTAAAAATAGTTGTACAATCATCATCACAATCCATTTTAGAACATTTTCTTCATTCTTGTACCCATAATTAGCTCCCCATTAACCCACTCCCTCCCCTGCCATAACTGTAAAGAACTATTAATTCTTTTTGTCTATAGAGTTATTGTCTCTATAGATTTACATATTTGGATTTCATGTAAAGAAAATCATACCCCCCAAAATAACAATGACATTGCAAGGATTGTAAGTAACAAAACCTATGATCAGAGGAGGGAATTGTATTAGAGCTGAAATTTAACATCTGGTTTGTAGAAGACTCCTGGTGACTGTGAAAGCCCAAAATCCATTTGCAGAGTCCCCACTTTGATTAGGCCTTCATTGAATTCCCTAGGATCATTGACGAGTGATGTGAATGGTCTTGCTCTCAGACAGTCTATTGAAAAGTGGATTACTGCAAACACAGTTAGGTTAAATTTAAACACATTATTATTTATTTTTGTGCCCTTTTGACTGATTTTTAAATTTTTTTCAGTTTCTATTTCTTCTGTTTTCCCTTGGATTGAGGGTTTTGTTGGGTGCTTTTTTGGTAAGTGTGTGTTTTATTTTATCATGGAACCTCTCATTCTTAATATTTCCATGGGATCTGGGATACCAAGGCACATGCTGTACGTCCCTTGGAAACAAAAACAAAAGCAAAACAAGAAATGTATTTTAGGGTGTTTTTTTGGTAGAGAATACTATTAAAATTTAATTTTCTTTTATTTTAATATATGTAGAAATTGTGAACATCACTTTATATAACTTTATTATAAATTCTGTCACTTGACATTCAGAGAGTGAGTAGGTGGTATAGAACTCTTATTGGATGATTAACGATATGACATTGGTTGAAAGTAAAAGCACGGGGTTTATATATTTGTTACTTTGGGGAGTCAAAGTAAACATATTTAATAAAAACGTCAGAAGAAAAATTAGTATATTATAATTACAAATTTTATCATCAACACTTAAAACAAGACTTAAAAGGTAAAAATATAAAACAAAGAGTGAATATCAAAGATATCCAGTTATTGGGAGTCCTGATGGTGCTATAGCATTGGACTGCTAAATGCAAGATAGAGGCTGTCTGATCAAGTACAGATTCACGATGTTGAGAAACCTACACAGGGTGTTTTCTAGTGCTCATGCTGGTTCTTCCCTCTGCAGTCCACCTTCTCAGATGATTTGCTCAACATACCCATTGGATAATTATAGGGAAAGGGTGGAACCCTGATGTTCATCGTTCCTGGTTTTAAACACCCACACATCCCTCTGTTTTATTCACAGACTACCTGTTGATCTAGGTACAGTTTTTAGAATGATCACAATCAAGTGTTTGGAATTCCCATGTTTACCTTGTTAAGATTCACAGAGTTGAATGCCTTTGCTTAGTCAACAGAATTAGAAGTAAACATCTGTATGGTACTCTCTGCTTTCTGCCAAGATCCATATGATGTCAGCAATGAAATAATTTAATTATATTTCCTGAATCTAGCTTGAGTTTTTGCAACACCTGTTTTTGTACTATCCGCAGGGAAAATGTTGTATTCACAGTATTGTCGTGTACTTTCCAAATTCGGTTGGGTCACCTTTCTTTGACATGGGCACACCTATTGTTCTCTTCCAGTCGTTTGGCCAAGTGGCTGTCTTTCAGATTCCTTGGTCGAGTATATGCTCCCAGCTCTCCTCAGTTTGTTGAAGCATGTCAATCAGTATTCTGCTCATTCCTGGGGTCTGCTTTTGCACTGCCATCTTCATTGTCACTTGCACGCCTTTCAATCAGTTCTTGACCATATGTACCTCTTGATGGTGGAATCTTGATCAATTCTTTGGTACAGATACTCCATTCTTTTTATTTTTTTCCCTGTACTTTCTGTATTGCTCAATATAATTCCCATAGAATCCTTCAATATTAAATGTGAGGCTTCCTTTTTTTCTTTTATTTTCATCAGCTTGAGATATGCTGAGTGCATGCTTCCTTTGTGGCTCTCCAACTATAGAACGTTGCACACTTCATTATCCGATTCTACATTATCTTCTCGAATTACCTTTAGACAGTTTCTATTCATCTCTTTTATTGACTTGTTTCTTCCGTTCCTTTTAGCTACTTTACACCCAAGAGAAAATTTCAGAAGCTCTTCTAGCATCCACTTCTTTTTCTTTCTTTTCTATTGTAAGGCCTTTTTTCCCCTCTTCTTGTCTGTTTTTCTTGAAATCATGCTACCGTTTATCAGATCTCTAGGCATTAGTGTTCAATGCGCCACATTTCTTGTGATGCTTTCTAAAGTCAAGTGGAATATATTCAAAGTTCTATTTTGACTCTTATACAGTTGTTTCAATTTTCCTCAGCTTCAACCTGAACTTGCATATGAGTATTTGATGTTCTCTTCCACAGTGCATCCCTGTCCTTGTTTTGGCTGATGATATTGAGCTTCTCCATCATTGCTTCCTGTTTGCTTCTATAGTTAAAGCTGATGGCCGATAATAATTACTTATTACCGCTGTACAATTGCGCCTCCCAGACCTGTGGTGATTTGTTAGGGGCTGGCTCCCCAACAGCTTCCTAAAAGTGTAGTCCATTTGCTCCTTGTATAACTCATCTGGTGAGGTTCACATGTAGACTCACCGTTTATATTGTTAAAGAAGATCTTGGAAAGGAAAAATTGTGGGCGTTGCAAGATTCCTCCATGAAATCTCCACACCATATTTTATAACTACTGATCTTTCCTCCTTGTTTCCAACTTTCACATTCCAATCCCCAGCAGTAATAAGTCATTTATTTCAGACTGAAGAAATCTGTGTAATAGTTCTTTCTTTTAAATCACTAGCTTTCTTGATTGGTGCACGAATTTGTGACTGGATTTCCTTGTAAGCATATTGATATTATCCTATCATATACAGGATTTTGTTTCATGATTAACTATAAATGTGACACATTTCTTCTTGAATTTTTCATTCCTGATGTAGTAAGCCTTATGATTGTCTGAGCCAAATGGTAAATATTAGTTGATTTTAGGCTACTATTAGCTAATATCTTTATGAGTCCCGTTTGATCTTTATAATCAAAGTTCTATTGATCTTTATAAGTTCCATTTCATATTTGATAACTTCTGATTTTACTGAGTCACACTTCATGCATTCCATGTTCCAATCATTAATGGATGTTTGTAACTGTTTCTTCTAATTTTGAGTCATGCCCATCAGCAAAACAATGTCCAGAAAGTTTTATTCCATCCACATCATGAATGTTGTCTCTACGTTTAGACAGTTACTAATCCCCAATCACATTTTCAGTACCTTCTAACGAGAGGAGTTCATTTTCTGACACTACATCAGACAGATTTCCCTGGGTAGTCATAAAGTTTTCAGTGACTAATAGCTCAGAACTTGACAGTTAATCTCTTATGAGTAGTATGTTCTTTATCTTAGGTCCTGGGCCTTTATATGTTTTTTATGTCTTCTAATAATAATTTATGAGTCCTCAAAAATCTATTTGATCTATTTAACTCCACAAAAAGCTTCAGAAAAAGTAGTTGAAACTTTACATTTGCATAACTATTCAATGGATTTTGGTCTATAAGACGTTACAAAATATAAAATCATAATTTTAAAAAATTCAATAAACACTTGAATAAATTTTAAATTCATTTAATAGACTTCTTTATTGGTAAAACTGTGCACAGAAATAGTCAATTATAGAAGCGTTGGAGCTAAAACTGCTTATTACTAGCAGAGTTATTATAGACTCAGCCGAGCAATTTATTGAAAAAGCAAGTATAGAGTTTAAAAGATGCTGATCATTTGCAATGCTCCACAGCAGAAAAATGTATACAATGAAAGAGAGTATAGATATTTATATTCTCCCTCATTTTTCAGAACTTTTGACAAAAATTAGATTACTCATATTTCTCAACCCATAAAAATTTTGT